CATATATATATATATATATCAGAGCTCCAAACTCCAGGTGACTTTTTTCCACTCCCAACATGACTCATAAGTCCCAGAACATTCTTCAGAGGATATAGGAAAGGACTATGCAACTGGAAGTCTGCTCCCTGTCAGCCCCAGCACCATTTTTTAAGAGAATGTTGCCATCTATCAAACCTGGGAGTTTGGGGGGGATAGTGATATGGAGACAGAGCCAGTTTGGTGTAGTGGTTAAAGGTACCAGACTAGAAACGGGGAGACCGAGAGTTCTTGTCCTGCCTTAGGCACGAAGCCAGCTGGGTGACCTTGGGCCAGTCACTCTCTCTCAGCCCTGGGAAAGAGGCAATGGCAAACCACTTCTGAAAAACCTTGCCAAGAAAACTTCATGGACTTGTCTAGGCACTCGCCAGGTCTCAAAAACTGACCCAAAGGCACCCCCCCACAAAAATGTACATTACATCTACCCCAGCTATCCCTGATTTTGCCACTAGATGCCACTAGAGCATCCCTGATATCTTCAAACCACTTTGGAAATCTTGCCAAGAAAACTGCAGGAACTAGTCCAGGTGGTTGCCAGGAGTTAACAATGACTCAAAGGCACACACAGACACAAAAAGTGATACAGGTGCCTGGGCAGAAGGAATACTTGTGCAACTTGCTTACATCCAGAGAATACATAAAAAGAAAAAAACAGTTTGATGTCACTGAGGACCACATGGGATGTGGTGAGGTCCCCTGAATGGCAAGCCAGCAGTGGGGTTTTCAGCCCATTTTTTAGGGAGTAAATTGTTTGAAGCAATGAAATTGGTGCCTTACATTTTAGAGAAGACTGCCTGGTCTTTAAGGGGTAAAATGAGCAAAATTGCATGTTTTAGATCCAAGACACCACTTTTAGCTACTTCCATTTATCTTTTTGTGAAAGGCTTTATTGAGCAGAAACCTGGAGGTTCAGAGAAATGGGTTTGTATTTGTTTTTATTTATTTAAACAGTATATGTAGCCACTCATCTCATTCTCATGACTCTGGGCAGCTAACAACGCATTTAGAAATTACAAAGAAACCAGCAAAACAATATACAGATTAGGGCCTTCTAGCTTTGCTAACTTGCCATTCTCACTAATTTATGACTGACAAAGTCATCCTGATGCCCGCTGATTGAATAGAATTTTGTGAGCGATAGTCATCTCGCTTCTGTGCTGAAGATACTTCTTAAATTCGTAAATGTTACTCATTGCCTCAAAAGAAGATGGAAGTTACTAGTAATTTCTTATATTCCAGAGCCTTTATTTTAAACTTCGTTCTATGATTCCTTGCTGCCTATGCCATGTCAATTTCACTGTTGCTCTTCCAGAAGATGAATTAATTCAGGTAAACCAATCCTTATTTCTCTTTACATTCTGTAGCGTTTACCTTATCCAGAAACGGGACTGGACTTTGTGAAAGTAACACTGGTCAAATTGGATATGTATTTGGAAACCTCCTTTCCACCTACCTTGCCCCACAGTGTTCTCTGATTTTAATCAGAAGAGATTAGCAAGGAGGTGATGATGGTTAGAATGCTAACTTTTCATTGTAAAATTGAGATGGCGTGTGGGATATATTTCAAGTATGCAAGAACTTTCCACAAAGCTCCTTCCTGTGTCTGCATAAAATTATTGATATGATTCCAAGTGATTGCAGTGTTTTTTGTTGTTGAGTTTTAAAAACAATTGTATTAAATTATAGTTATGGTTTCATGTTTGACTTTTCAGTTATATGGTGCAGTACATTAGATAACAATTATGGTCCATGCGTATTTCTTGTTTCTTTGAATCCCGCTGCAAAAAATACTCATAGAAACAAAACAAAAATCAGTTCTACTGTCTTACAGACACATACACAAACACACAAACAGTTGAGTCCATACTCAACTTCTTCCAGGTCAGTTATGTGAATCATTGTTATCATTGTCCAGAAACACAACACAAACATTTGTACAATAACAGGCACTTCTACAATAACTAAGCAAAGCTGGGGTTGTTGTTGTTGTTGTTTTTTTGGAAGATCCAGACTAAATCAGCAGGATAAGTTTGTCATGGGCTACTTAAGACCCATTAATTTCAGTGGAACTATATTTGTCTTAATGAGGATCCACTTCTTAGTTCATCACAGAAATCTTTCCTTGCAGCTCTCCTTTTTGTTAATACTAATTAACAAATTACCATTACCAAACAAACAACCATTACTAAAATTTAATGGTTAAATTTAAATAAAGCAGAAAAGAATGTTGATCAGGTTGACAGCTTGCTGCCAGTGCATGTAAGTAAGCGTGTGTTCCCCCCCCCCTTGTGTATGTTTATGTATGGAACTGAAATAAATGTTTAAGAAGTAAACACTGACAGCCAAATGTTTGTAATTGCAGGTCACCGTTACAGCTGTTGCAATAACATTTGACAAACACCAGGCTTTACAAACAGCTAAAACTGTAGAAAAAACACTACAGCGAGGTAAAAGTTCATTCTTCGTTAATTGTGGATGCCATGATATCTTTGTTTAAATGGAAAAATCAATATTTATATACCAATTTATTATTTCAAGCTTCTACAGACAATGAAGAACAGCTGCAATTTCCACTGGAGCTTTCTTCTGATCTTCATATGCCTCAGCAATTCTCACCAGCTAAAGGTTGGGGGGTTTTATTTTCTTTTTAAAAAAGCATACGCTTATCCTTATGTGTTTCATTCACTTGCTCCTTTGATGCTGGTCAACCTACTCAGCTTAGATTTAGTACTGTTGCTCAGTATAAATTGAATATTTGCATTTTCCATCATCAGATATTTGAGGAAACCTAAGCAAGCTGTACCTAATGTGTTTTTGGGACAATTGCTTCAATTAAAATAAGATGTTGCAGATTAGGAGGGAGCAAATGAAAAGGAACAATTGATTTTCTGCTTGTTTTTATTGCATTTCTGTAGCTGCTTTGAGGCTGCCAAATAGCCAATGCATTCTGATTCTGAGATAGCTGTATTTTGGGAAAAGATGAGGCAGTTCCTCAGAGATCTGAAAATTATATCTGCTAAATTGAATCAAAAACATCTGGAAACAGGAAAATGTAATTTTTTAGAGATGAGAGAATTGTAGCTAAAGATTTTTATTTCTCCAAAGAGAATTGAGTGTTCCTAGAATCATTCTATTCTTGATTCTAATTCAGAAGATAGAACCTACAATATAAAGAGCTCCAAAATAATTCCTCCAAACCTGATAGAATGGGCCAAAAATGGATTTAGTATGAATTAATGCAGATGAAGACTGGAATAAGTATTCCATATTTTGAATTTTTGCTGACAGGATTGAAATAGGCCACCATCTAGGAAAGTTAGACTTTCATTGCAGTAGAAAGCTCATTTAAAATGTTAGCTCAGTTCTGAAAGACTTAGAAAAAGGTAGACATTAAAATGGGAAGTACCATTATTCATACCTTAGTTATCCTTTTCTTTGGAATATTGTGTGCATATTTTATTGTTCTATATTAGAAAACAATCTAGGATGAATGAAAATACAGAAAAAGGCAGCTAAAAATGATCAGGTGATTATTTATTTACATTGTTTCTATGCTGCCAGAGCCATATGACACTGGTTAAAACAAATGAAAATACAAAATGTACAATTGCAATAAAGTAATGAAATTAATACTAAAACCCCAATCAGTAAAAATACAGTAACAGCCATCCCCAGTAAGTTTAGATCCAAAAGCCAAACAGATGAGAATTGAGTTCCCTCCTGAAGACAGAGGGGGCTGTTCTTACCTCAAGGGGCAGATTATTTAAGATGGGGATTGATCAAATTGGTGTCAACCCTTACCACCCCATAGATAGATTTTCTCCATGAAGATCTATTCCTGACCTTGTCTTTTAGGTCTCCCAAAGGTGCCCCCATCAACACTGTAACTGAGTCCACCCACCTTGCTGCTGGTCCTCCTCTTTCCTTCCACCTTTCCCAGTATTAGAGCCTTTTCCAAAGAGATGGGTCTTTGCATAAGTTGTCCAAAGTAGGATAAAGGAGGCTCAAATTATTCTATTTTGGACAAACATTACAAATGGCATAGGAAAAAAGGTCTTCCTGTTGGAATATATTAGAAATTAAGGTCACCAACTGGGGGGCAGCAAGTCCAGGCAGGATATACAAAAGAATTGCAAAATTATAACAGGTGATAGCCATTCAATGACAAATGTGGGGTAAATTTTTCAGTGGCTATTAACCAAGAAAGCTAAACTGGAAGTTCAGCTGAAATTGTTCCATCTACTTATTGTTAACTTCAGGAATCAAGAGCTAGAATATTTATCTTATATATGAAATATATGAAATTTGGTTCCATGATCTTCAGGATTATCACAGGATAGACTTAAGTGCTGTAATCCGTTCTACATACTCACATACTCAGTGCATATTTGCAAAATATTTCTGTTTGCAAGAACCAAGGAATAATCCATGAGAAATACTTTTCTTTCCATAGCAAGTGAAATTCTCTGGAAAATCATCCGTGATACATTAGTTTATGTATTACTGCAATCATATATAGAGCCAGATATGCAGATCCAGAATGACAAATGTATAATCTTCTTCTCCCTTTTCCTCACCTTTGATTTTTTCATACATTGCTTAATTTCATGTGGATTTTTGAAGGATGGTCAAATAGATGAAGGTTTTCTAGTTGAATTGCTAGGCAAAATAGTATCTTTCTCAGAGGGATACCTTGAACTAAGTCCTAAATCCTCATTAGATATCTGGGTCTGCTTTATTTTGAGATCTGAGTAGCATCTAATCACTTAATGGCATAAGATTTGTGGATTAGAGTCTATGAAGTGGTATTCTGATGAGTTCAGTACTCTCAACAGAAGAACTTTGAGAGAACTGAATGTAAAATTGTTGAATTAGAGCTTAGCAGTTCACTTAATCAACAGCTCAGACTCAGATAATTTCTCACTGCTGCTGAGTTCTCACAGTACTTCTTTTCCAAATATTTAAATAATTAAGCTGTCACTGACTTTATTTTTTGATTATTCATACACTTATCTACTAAAGAAGAATAACTGAACACTTCTGATGGTAGAATCCATGAATGTATATGCCATGATAAATTTGTTAGTTTTTAAGATGATAGAGCACTGTACATTTTTTCTGCAACACACTAACATGGCTTAATAACATAGGAAGTTGTTATTAAGATGGCTGACAATGCATGATTTTAACAAAATAAGGTAGGCCATTACCATAGGAAATAGTTGTGTAGCTAATCCCTATCCCGTAAAGATGTTTTTATAGTCTTTGTACTTTCTACGTCTTCCTGATTCCATCTGCTTTGATACTTGGACACTGTCTCTATTGTCAGGTTGGTGGGTTTCCTTTCACCAGCATCCTCATTAAATTGCCATTTAGCCTTCCAGCAGTCTCGCTGGAATCCTTGAATCAAATAGGTATCTTCTCTTTTGTTTCATTCTGTTGTTAACTGTCTTTCTGAAGGCACGTTAGAATTAAACAAATTTCTGAGTTGTGTAAAACTGTACTTGTAAAAAAGCTGTTGGCCAGTAGATGGCCACATGGTCTCATATCAGCAAATAGTTCATACAGAAATCCACAGTTGATGCTAAATGAAGTGTGGGAAACTTTTGTTCAGTTACTTCATCAAGTGAATCTCTTAGTTTCAAGATGCCAAGAATTTCCAATGTCTAAAGATAATTTTCTCAGCGTGACAATGTATGCGATTGATTTACAACTCATATTTACAGTTTTGGGGAAAACTTGATTATTGATTTCAGTTCAACTTTAGGCACAATAATTATTCATACATATATTTTTCTAAACACCAACAGGGTTAAGTATAAATGTAGGAAGTGGAGTTCCCAATGTTAATTTTCTGTTCAACTCTGAAGCCTCAAATATACTGATGATGAAGAGACAGTACATCACTGACGGGCAGCAGGAAAGTAAAACATAGGTTTGGGCCATTCATAATTACTGAACACAGAAGTTGATTTTTGGCTGGGATTATTTAAATGGTAATCTTTTGATGACCTTTGAAAACAAAAAATTCTTGTTAATCGGGTATTGTGATGACTATATAAGGCAAACTCTAGGTTTTCCATTGAAGACCAGTATCCATAAACTTGGGGACATATTTGTTATATCGGGTTGTATTGGTGGGGTCATTCTGTCTAATCAGAAACTATTTACACACACACACACACACACACACACACACACATCTATCTACAGATAGTCCTCGACTTATGACCACAATTGGGACTCAAACTTCTGTTGCAAAGTAATGCGGTCGTTATCATGCCCAATGTTACGACCTGTTTTCCACAGTTGTTAAGTAAATCACTGCGGTTGTTAAGCGAATCATGTGGTTGTTAAGCAAATCCAGCTTCCCCCATTGATTTTACTTGGAAGCCCCTGGGAAGGTTGCAAATGACAATCACGTGACTCCAGGACACTGCAACTGTCGTAAATACATGCTGGTTGCCAAGTGCCCGAATTTTGATCATGTGACCGCAGAGGACACTGCAACGGTCATAAGTGCAAGGACTGATAGTCACTTTTTTCAGTACCGTCGTAACTTCGAATGGTTGTTAAACTAATGGTCGTAAGTCGAGGACCACTTCGATCGATCTATCTAGTTATATAGGGCTTTTCTTTCAAATAGAAACGTGTTCAATTATTTGGAATATACTGGATGAAAACAGTTACTGAAGCTTAATACCTCTAACTGATAGGATGCCTACATTCTGTGAAGATTACTGCTTAGTTAAAGTGGAAGCCTTCTTTGTGCTTAAGGGTTTGACTTACATTGTCTCTTTAAGATCAGCACCTTGGAGAGCAGAATATTGCTAGCAGTCTCCTGAAGACAAAGATTTGCTTGAGGGTTGAATGTCACCTCTGAGCATCTTTGTTACATGTCATATGTACAGTTTATTATATAAAACTGGCTTCAATAAACCTAAAAAACCCACTTGCCCAGAGGCAATGGTGATTCTAAACAATGCATAAAAGTGCCCTTTAAAAAGCAAAACAACAACAACAAAACCGTATCTGGCATTTGCCATTCATTTTGTTTTCCTTGCTTTAAGACTCTCAATAGAGAATCTTTCATCTTTGCTATAATATTGAGACATTCGTAGAGAAACCATCAGATAATGGCTGGAACACAAATGTTGGAAAAAATTGCATAAAAGGGCTCAGGACTCTGTCCATCAATCAGCAGGAGAATTCTCCAAAATCAGAATGGAATGGGACTGAGGTGATAGAAGAAGCCAGCAAATGAAATAATAAAGCTTGAAAATGGGGGATTTGGAGGGGGGAAATTTCCCCAACGCATCCCTATAGATCTTTGGTGATGATTCTATTCTAGTGCCCCTCTCTTCCAGTCATCTGATCCAGAGCGGCATGTTTGCCCACCCTTTGTTGCTCAGTGCACACATACACACAAACACAGCATAAAGGTAGAATGGAAACACACACTTACACAACCCATTGCAGTCTTTCCCTACCTTGTTCATACTAGAACATGTTTTCAGGAGTTTTTGAAAAGTTCATACTGATTTTTTATCACACCTATGCATTTTTGGCAATTCCCCCCTCTTTTTTTTTTTAAATATACTGAGAAACTTCCCTAAAAATTCTTTATTCAAATGTCAGTACTAAATCATAGTGTTTATTCCTCTTTTCTGCTTATTATATGCTCTTGTTTACACTGTTATGGGTTATTTTGAGGGGAATTAAAGTGTGAAAGATCTTGGATTAGAGCAGAGCATTCAAATGTGATAATCTTGCCAGTTTTATGGATATCATACATGGTAGAATAAATTATAGATGTCATTGATATCACCAAAGGTTCTTGAAAAATTATTCAAAATAAAGAAAAGACAAGTATTAGAGCTTTCTCAAAGTTAGTAAAAAATCATGCTTGTTACATTTTAAGCGAAAAGATATTTGTTTGAAGGGTGTGTAGACATAAAGTCTGTGAGTCTTAGAATGGAAACAAAGATTGCGGTAAAGAAATTAGCAGTATAAAATTGGATCCACATCTTTATTCCCCTTTAGCAAAATGAGCTATTCACCAGTCAAAAATACCATGAACAGTGGAAATGATCTTTTAAATGTATGTGTACATGTGTGTATTCTATTTTTAGCTTGTGATTATTTCGTAAGGGCTTGAGTAATAACTGAAATAGTTAAAAATAAGTATTCCTTATTAGTTCTAGGAACCAGTCAATTAAGGTCTGACACCAAGGACAAAAAAGAAATGAACAGTATAGTCTGTTTGCAAAAGAAATGAAATGAAACAAATGGATCTGAATTATAGGATGAAATTGCAGGACATCAGCCTGTGGTGGTGGTGATGTCAAGGGTGAGGGTGAGGGTTCAAGGCAGTTCCCAAATGTTCCTTGGTCTGCAGGTTGAGATAGGGTATTGGAAAATTTTCCCAGATCCAGCTCAGAATTCCTGCTCAAGAAAAGCTAGTTCTTTGGGAAGAATCATGAAAATGTGTCACATGATCCAGTATCTTTCTTTGTGCCAGGAGTTTTCCCTGTGGGGATCTTCAGCCTTGTTCAACCTCCCCCTGCAGGCAGGAATGGCACATTTCTTGGTGGGCAGATAGATGCAGCCAAGTAAGGGTTCATTGGTGGATTCATGGAGAAAGATAAGACTAGAAGCAATGAAGTAGAAGGCTAGATAATCTTACTTCCTACTTCATTCCCATTAATTGCAGGTGGCCTTTTTCAACCATGCTAGATGCTGTTTCTGTACTAGATAGCAATAAAGGAAAGAAAGTATCAACTGGCTTGGGTATCAGTGGTCCTGTTCAGGTTTAGACTTGAGGAGGCTTCAGGCCAGGACATAATCCCAACAGGCACATTTTGATTTATTATATATGGTAGGCCATATCGTACCTGATGCAGCATAATCCCATTGCATAAATGAGCAGGGCTGAGTTTCATTGTTTATTTTTTTATTGTGATGTGCTTATTTTAGAGCTTACACTTAGTTTTCATCTCCTTCCCGCCTCAAAACTTACATATATTCTTACAAATAAAAATGGCAGGAAACTGCAGTGGGATCAGGGTCAGGACTGGAGATGGCTCTCAAGCCTCCAGAAAAAGAGTCCTTGTTTTTCTCCATAAAAATGACCTGCAGATGAATTTTCAAACACGTTCATTGCCAAATTGATCTTCCATATAATGCAGTGTTCGCTGCATTATGTTGTGGTTTATAGGTCCTAAAAATTGATGTTCAGTGAATCCAAAATTGATTAGAGGGGTATTTTGAGCAGACGATCGCTAAAAATTTACATGAAAAGAAATCTGTATTAATAGAGCTGTTGCTGCCTGTATCACATTGGTGGACTTCGTTTTGTCTTACTAGAGGACCTGGAGAGTGCAAGTTCCCACACAGGTTTACCAGCTGTGCAAAGAGGTGAGTTTACTTGATTTAGCTGTAAGCCAGAATAGGGAATGCATTCCTGGGTCTGTTGGGAATCCATTTGAGATATAGTGCTAAACATTCAGAAGGTATTCACCAGTTGCCTTGGAAAGCATGCTCTGATATGGCTTATTGGTTTCCAAACTATGTTCTTCAGATATATCTACATAAAACTAAGGACAGGTTGTACTGAAAACAACAATTACCTTCAACTGATAGTATTATTTTCCATCTTAATTTTCTGAAATGGTATTGCTTGTTAGTTTTCATCTTACTTTAATATAATTTTGAATTCCCCTGGATTTTATTTTTTTTTAAACAGGAGAGGAATGGGCATAACAAAAGAAAGAGAGCCAGTTTGGTGTAGTGGTTAAGGTATTAGCCTAGAAACCAGGAGACTGTGAGTTCTAGTCCCGCCTTAGGCATGAAAAACCAGCTGGGTGGCTTCGGACCAGTCACTCTCAGCCCAACTCACCTCACAGCGTTGTTGTTGTGGGGAAAATAGGAAGAGGAAGGAGTATTGGTACGTTTGCCGCCTTAAGTTGTATATGAAAAAAAGGCAGGATAAAAATCTAAAAAAAAAAAGCTGTTAATATATCAGTATGACTTTCTGTCATGGAGCTAGCAGTTTTGGTGCCTGCCTATAAACAGTTATCAAGACTGTCTATATGGAAAAAATAAGGTGCTCTGGCACCACAAAAAAAGCTATTATATAGTATTTCTGAACCAGCCCTATTCATGGTAATCCTAGGATTTTAAACTACAACTTAAATATAAAATTCTAAATGGATTTGAAAAATGCTGTGATCTATTGAGTTGAGTGTGTAAACTCATAAACCTGAATTATGGATTTGCAAGAGACATCTTGTCCCGGCCCCCACTTTATGTATTAGAGCTGTTGCCTTGTTGGTTGACTAGGCATTGCTGGGAGAAGGTGCCAAATGATGACCAAAGATCCATTAACTGATTTTATTACAAGGTTGATAATCTTAAATATGAATGTTATCAGGAATACTTATCCGGAATCCTCAGAATTGTCAGAGCAGTGTTGGAGTTTCTTCATTGGTACAGCTGGTACAAATTACTTTATATTTTGCTTTAGATTTTCATTATGTGATGAGGATTGATCTGAATGACTTTTCCATTCGCGAAATTACAGTGACCACTACTACATCTGAATTAACTTTCTTGGGGATTTCATATCACCTATTTTAAATTAGTCTAGCACAACTCATTTCATGATTAACGTATTTACTAAATCTGAATTGATACAGAGTGTTTAACACTTGTTCAGAAATTCAGCAGTTCCCCCACCCCCATATAATATTTCACAGGAGTGCTTCAAATCACTAAAGAGTCCTCTAAGCCAACCAGTATCTAACTGGTATCATAAAGATCACTTCCCCAACCTGGTGTCTTTCAGATGAACTACATTACAACCCCCAACTAATTGTGGTCCAGAACATCAAGAGGGCACCAAGTTGGAGACAGATAAACAGCATGTCGTAGATGGAGTCCAGACTTACACAGTACCACTGTCTGCACAGTTACAATGCTTTCTGAGATCCTACTATGGTCACATAAGTTGCAGAACTGTATGACCTTTCAATTCTCATAATTACTTGTCTGGAACCTGTCTAATACGTGCTCTGGGTCAGTGCCTAAAAAATCAATAGATGTCTGTATGAAAAGAAACTCTCCTCCTGCCATCTTGGCATCAGCTTATGGCAGACAGTGTATGAAAAGTGGCTTCAGAAGGCCCCCTGCTGACTTTAGTGATACCAACTTGCGGAAGCCTTTGGCCAAATTGGAGAATCTTCAGAATTGGCAGAAGGTTTCTGGGAAAACAGGAAGCTCTGAATTATTACAAATAATTGCAAAATAGTTTCATAATGGGCAAGTACTCCTGTGAATTTGGTCATGCTG